TTGCACTTAATGGCAGAATGACTAGAATGATTATGAGCCAATGGTTGCAAAAAAATGGGGTGTACACCTATGAAGCTTCTGATTGGAATGGGTTGACCCAAAATCTTCAGGAACTCTTTAACGTACAAAGCCTAAATTCAGTTTCAAAACCTGAAGAATCAGACCTAGAAAGTAATATTGCTTCAGTTTTGATCATAATTATTGACATTGGACTACTTGACTTGAGCACTGATGTATGGAAGCAACAGCTCAATGTTCTACAGAAATACTTTGGCAAAGTGAAATTTGCATGGATCTTAAACCATGACATCTCCAGTACCATTAAAACACAACTGCGTAGCAGAGGGCATCTGTTGATGGTTAATAGACCTCTGTACAAAGCAAAAATGATTCAGATTTTAGAAGCTGTCATAAGGGACAGGAATTTTCAGATGCAAAACAATTTAAATGGTTTACCAACTACAGTAGCGGAAAGACAACTCTGTGAATGTCTTGAAATCGATGCTATACACTCTACTTCTGTCAGTTCAGATGATTCCGACAAGTCCGAGAAAGTGAGTTCTAATACTATGAGTGCACTTCGTGGTGCAGAGAAGAAAAATGAACATTTCTCTGATGCACTTTCCCTGCAACGCGTTATACGTAGTAACGGCTCTTCTTCTGACCTAACTCGAGCAAATCTAGAAGAGGATGCTTCTGACATGGATGGTTTAGGTCAAAGAAGAAGCAAAGAACAAAATTGGACTAGATCTTGTCCTGAAGATAAAGGTAGTGCATGCTCATACAAGGTAGTGAATGAACGAAAATCTCTTGAGGGTCTACGCATACTTCTTGCAGAAGATACGCCAGTGCTGCAGAGAGTTGCAACCATAATGCTGGAAAAAATGGGAGCTGAAGTAGTTGTCGTAGGAGATGGAATCCAGGCCGTTGATGCTTTACAATACATAACTATTTTGAATGAGTATAAAGAGAAATCCCTCTTGGTTGATGGCAACTTGAGAACCACTCATACAGAAGCATTGCCATATGACTTGGTTTTAATGGATTGTCAAGTAAGTTTATAGACTGTAATAGTCCCAGGTCCGCCATTCAAGCCTCACTATTACTTCTGAAAATTTGTTCCATCTTTCAAAGTGTTGATGAAAAAAATGAATCTCGCCTGCATGTGATAGACGTACTGAAGACTAAATTTAAATAAATCAATATGCCCCCTCCCTAACAGTTTAAACTTTTTGATGAGTAGTTCTACTTTAATCCTCGTATTCTCTTCTTCCTATATTGACTATCACGTATTCATTTAATTTTAGTATTGTTTATTGTTGAGTCATTTGCATTAGTGTCAAATTTTACAACCATTTTAAACCGCAGATGCCAAAGATGGACGGCTATGAAGCAACAAGGGCTATCAGGAAATCAGAATCGGGAACTGGTTTGCACATCCCAATTGTTGCACTAACTGCTCATGCCATGTCTTGTGATGAAGCAAAATGCTTAGAAGTTGGTATGGATGCTTATCTTACAAAGCCAATTGACTGTAAACGCATGGTTTCCACCATCCTTTCTTTAACTAAGAGAATAGTCTGACCGTAAACCTTTGAACTGCTCCAGTACTGGTTGTTCTATACATAGGAAAAATAAGATGAGGTATGGAAAAAGAGAGAAAAAATAATTAACAAAATAAATAAGCTCATGTGCAGTTTTCATGTATAGAAAAGAATGGCTATTTAATCCTTTTTGCTTCTCCATATATACCGAGCATGCTATCACATATTCTGAGTTCTTGAACTAGTTAGTTCACATGTCAGTATATTTATCATAATGTGTTTTAAACTGCAAAACTTACTAATGAAACTAAAAATCCCTCTCTATTTATTTTGAGTAGATCTTGTTAAGAATTTCTGGAAATTATTTTTGAAATGGGTGTTTACCTTACTCAATTGAATTCAATATTTATACAAAAAAACTGATGAGGATTTTTCAGAGAGTGAATGAGATGAACCTCTGAAGTTAGTAAATACTCGTGTGTACGAAATATGAACCTTTTCAAGCATAACATACGAGTATTTCATCATTTTCATGGTTATTTCTCCTCTATAACTTTGATGCATAAAATCTCTGATGGAGAATTTAAAGCATAGACAAAGAATCAGACTTGGGAAAACATGAAAGCACTTGGATCAAATAACTCAATTCACAAATTTCTCAAGAGGTGGTTTAAAGATTCCAGACATGAACATCAATATATACAGAAGAAATAGTAAGATGATGTTATCATGTTTCACCACACATATCCAATGAAATAAGATCAATATGTTTGGACATAAGTTAATTGGCGCTTCTGTTTATTGCATACAAGTAACTCAATATCACCACTGCTGCAATTACACCAATTTTTGCCAATATGTTCTTCATGGCCAAAGGATGAGTAAATCCAAGCTCTGAGAGTTTCTTATGTGAGGCTGCGTAATCTCTGAAGAATGCATCTTCATCCTGTTTAGGCAAGAAAGAAAAGATATTGAACTTGCTTGGTAACAATGGAAGCATAATCATGTCAAACACTCATTTTGGTGATGGAAAAGAGTAAAGAAAAATGATAAATACAGTGAAATCGTAACATATGAACAACATTACCTTAGCATAAAATTCGACATAACTCCGGAACACAGGATCATTCATCAGAGCTTTATCAGTAGGAAGTTTCAAAAGACCTTCTGAATCTCCTTTAATTAGCTCCCTGGTTTATCATATATAAATAATTAGCAGTACATATTAATAAGAAATCTTATACCAAATCAGAAATCTTACAGAAAGTAAGAATTGTCAAATTTCAGAGGCTCCTTTGTCCAAGGCCCTTCAAATCCCGATCTCTCATGATGAGCCCTTCCCTGTAAAGAAATAATTTACGTTTGGTGACAATTATCAACTGTTAATCAGATGAAGGTGTGGGAAAAATACCAATGTGTGACCCCCTGATAGTGCTACGATATCTTTTTCAGATAGACCCATTCGATAGAATACATCCCTTAGGTGTGAAGCACCTACGAATGGGAAAAAGCAGAAGGACGATTAGAAAAGCATATTTGGTTGAGACTGTTTAATTTATTAAGGAGCATATATGAAGCACATTCTGACTATCATAGCCAAATCTACTTCCATGAATCATTACTTCTCCAGCATCATTAGACTTGAGCCCACAATAGGTTTCCTTAAAACCTTGTGCTAATCCTAGGTAAGTACTATAATTTCAGGAATACAAGTATTATAGCTAGCACTAATTACATTATGGTTAAGGTAGTGTTAAATATGTAAGCGCTAAAATGTAACTCGACGTTGTAATGCTGCCACTTAAAAAAAAAAAAAAAAA